GGGAGGGATGGGGTGGCTGGGTGATGGACATTGGGGAGGGTATGTGTTGTGGTGAGCGCTGGGTGTTGGGTAAGACTGATGAATCACAGACCTGTACCCCTGAAAAAAATAATACATTACATGTTAATTAAAAAAAAAAAAAAAGAACGTGAGCTTTCGAATGAGAGAGACTCAAGCTCAAAGCCCAGTTCTTCCTTTTACTAACTCTGTGACTTGAGTTAAGTTGCTTAACCTCTTTAAGCCCTGTTTTCTTTTTTTTTTTTAAAGATTTTTTATTTAATTATCTGACAGAGAGAGACACAGTGAGAGAGGGAACACAAGCAGGGGGAGTGGGAGAGGGAGAAGCAGGCTTCCCGCTGAGCAGGAAGCCCGATGTGGGGCTCGATCCCAGGACCCTGGGATCATGACCTGAGCTGAAGGCAGACGCTTAATGACTGAGCCACCCAGGCGCCCTAAGCCCCTGTTTTCTGATCTAGAATTTGGGGGTCTTCATGGTAACCGAGTTAGAGATTCACCATGGTAACTGGATGAGATTGTGAATGATGACAGGCTAGCTCATTGTTCCAACCCTACTTGGAACTCTTGTGTATTTTCACTTTTACCCTTTAGTTCTGGTTTGTTTGTTTGATTATGAGGAACTTTCTCTTTTCCTTTTACTTCCCTAGGGATATGAAACCTGACAATATTTTGCTTGATGAACATGGTAAGTAAATGATTTGTTTGCAATCAACATGACTTGCACATATAAAAATCAGAGGGGGAGATGAACCATGAGAGACTATGGACTCTGAGAAACAAACTGAGGGTTCTAGAGGGAAGGGGGTGGGGGGATGGGTTAACCTGGTGATGGGTATTAAAGAGGGCACATACTGAATGGAGTACTGGGTGTTATACGCAAACAGTGAATCATGGAACACTACATCAAAAACTAATGGTGTAATGTATGGTGATTAAAATAACATAATAAAAAAAAAGAAAGAAAAACATTTAGTACTAGCAACTGGTTGATTGCTACAGCAAAAGTAATTGGTATAAATGTCATACATTTGCATTAACTGCAATCACATATAAAAATGGAGATTTAAAATAAAATTTAAAATAATAAAAGAGTAAAAAAAACCTGAAAAAAAGAATTAAAGTTAAATAAATCAAAATAGATGTATATGGAAAAAATAGGAGGAAGAATGAAAATAAAGGAAAATAAATAAAAATAAATTTCTACATTTAAAAAAAAAAAAAGAAAAAGCATGTCGGACAAAAACGATTACCCCAGCAAAGGAGGATTACACACGGAAAAGGCCCTGCTTGATTCAGTTGAGGTCTATGCACAAACTTGATTTGATGTGTAGGAGGGACAAGATGGGTGAACTTCATTATTCTAGCAGTGGCAAGGTACCCTGGGGTACCCTTAAATAACATTATATTTAAATAATGAGAAAGTCACTCCCTTTTCAACTTTGTTAACACTTCTACTGATTTCTTTCAAGAAAACCATCACAGTTTTTTTGGTGCTAATTTGCCTTAATATCTTTCTAAAAATCATCTCTCTTTTTTAATAAAGCAGAAAAGGCCTCAAGCTCAGAGCATGTGGCAGGCAAGAGTATCTACCAAATGATTAATGACACCATTTTGTCCTCATTGCATCTACTTTTATGCTTTTCTTCTTATGAGGGAAAATTGGTTTCACATTTGCAGAAGATATACCAAGTTTTCAGTTCGAAGATTTTTCAGTTTAAGAAAACTCATCAATTTAAAGAAAAAGAGAAAGTGGACAACAGTGTATGAGGCATCTAGATGGGAAAGTGATACGGGGATTTGGCAGTAACCATGAAGGTGATCAGTGAAAGCTGGAAACCCAAGAAACACAGATTAAGGATATCCTGAGAGCAAGCTTTCACCAATAATGATTAATATGTATCGTTTCTTCCCACTGTTCTTTTTAATGTATGTTTGGGTATACTGGTCCATCAGGGCAGACCCGTAGGACACACATCCTGCAGGTTATAAATGTTACAGTGGCACTAAGATCTTTCTGATGTGCTCAGGAAGCTGTTGGGTGAGGGAGTCCTAAGTGTGCAAGGCTCCTTATTCATTTGACTTTTACAAAAGGGATTTGCAGTGGGTCTGCAACTCCAAGTACCATCCATTGCTCATTACTTATTTACCTCGCTGCATTTTCAACCTGATTTGCCAGACCTCACCTGTGCTCAGAGGGCTAAGAAACACTTTTGTGTATGACCTCTAATTTTGAAGCTCAGGGTCATTATTTATTTATGGACTGTCTACAAAGATTATTTCCACTTTCTTCCAGTGCCTAATTTCTTCCTTCCCTTTACTGCTTCTGACATTCAGGAGCAGATTCTCGGACTCTCCAAAATGTGAGCAAGAGTGAGCCTTGGCGTGAAGGTGACATTCATGAGAACACTGGCTGTCCATGCCTTAGAGAGGAGGCAGGAGCCTCTCTGACCCTGGTGCAGCTAAACTCTGTGGGGCCTCACAGTTGTGGGGAGGGCCTCCCCACCCCCGTAGAGGCCGCCTCTGCACAATTCAGAAAAAGGTTCTCTGTCTCCCCACCCCGGCCTTATGAAGGTGCGTGGCTGGTCAGGCAAAACACAATCTGGGGTTCTGTCCCCACCTACTCCCTTTTCTGGTTGCCTTTGTGTACAATATATTGCTCTACCACTTGTTGAGGCCCCGAATGGAGACATTTGGACACTGTTGACCACAACCTTTTCAAGATTTACCTTCCATTCAGAGAACAACATTTTCATCTTGGCCCTCAAACATGGCTTCATCTTATTTCCACCATAAGGCCATCCGATCCTCTCTCATTCAGTTTCTTTCCCCTTCTTATTTTCTGGTCACCTTGGTGATTGTAGATTAGGAGAATGGTCCAGAAATAACTTAATCTTCAAGTTTACCTGCCCTTAGAAACCACCCTCGTGAAAGAATAATTGTGTAATATTATAGTTAAAAGCATGGATTCTGGAGCCCAATTGCCTGAGTGGAAGACCCAGTTCACCCCCTCACCAATCACTAGCTCTGAGAGTTTCCACAGACTGTCTAAACTTTCTCTGAGTCTCAGTTTTTTGACGAACCAAAGGAGTAATTAATTCTTAGAGTCACTGTAAAAATGAACTAGCATACTGTTTATAAAGTGCTGATTGCAGTGTCTGCCACAAGGAAATCACTCAGAAGATAAATATTAGTATAATTCCATGAGGTATGACTTTCTCCCCTAAAGAAGCAAGCTAAGGCTTCCACATCTTGTTTTATGTGGCTCTGTCTATAGCAGGTGGTCAGTGAAAGCTGGGCCCTTACCTGTCTTTCTACAGAATTATTTCGGTTCCAGAAGGGATATGCCAAAGCTTCTGTGTGTCTACTTGTTAGCTCTTATGTTTATGCAGTTTTGTTTGGCACTAATTCTCAGGCAGCTACGCCTTCAGTGGTCTGTTCTGCTTTTCCATCCTGGGCGCAGGGGGCTAAGCCCAGTTTGGGGGGCATTTTACTCTTGCTAAGGCTGGGGCTCTGTTGTTCAGGGCGTATGAGCAGCCATCCCGGTTGGCCGGAGGGATCGTCCCAGTCTACACCTGTTACCTGGTGAACTATTTACAATGACGCTTTCACTATTAAGGTTTTGGGTTTCAACAATGAATTAATAGGACTTTTTTGTATTATTTTCTCATCCTGAACTCGAGAATCACCACAGTTAATAAGAGAAACATTGTTTTGGAAAGGAACAGATCTGTGAAGGGGATAGAAGCAAACAAACAAGAGAGCTATTCTCTAAACATTGTCCTGGGGATCCCCTTGTGAAGAACAAAAATTTTTAAGGTTATTTACTCTCTGTTTATGCAGGTTCTGAGAAACTAAGGCTTTCTGGCATTGCTCAGGGACTGTAATTAACCACTCTTAAATGAATACATCCCTGATACCCCCCAGCCCTGAGCACATTCTGTAGAGTTACTCCTGTGAGAATCAGCTGCCTCACAAATCAATGGGTGCATTTTCGAGTGTCTGCTGGCGTGATTTTCCATGTCTCCAGTTAGAAACCCTCATTTGTCCTCTCCATCCACATTTATAGTGTTTCTCCCCTGATGGGCCATCACACGCACCTTTTGCACGGGGATTTTAGCAACCGTGAAGGATAATTGCCTATCTCTGACATGCCTCCTACGCCTGTTCCCCCAAGTGAGCTGTGTATCACACCACGTTGCTTACATTCTAATTCAGCGCCATCCGGCAACAGGCAGAAACTTGGTTTTATTCTTACTGATTCATATTCATTCATATTCATCAGAAAAGACTGATACTTAAAGGAGCTGAAGCCCTTTGTAAAATGGAGAATCTTTCCACCGTGTCAATGAACATTCAGAATGGGAGTGAAAAAATGTTTTTAATTTAGAGCATACCTGTTACTGTTCTCCTCAAACGTCTCATTCACTAGCTCAGAACCCAGGCTGACATTAGATCTCAGATGGCTCATCATCAATCGTCCTGATAAATATTTTCATATCCTACCAACTTAAGTACCACATCCAATTCTATCAATTCCATAGTGTCTAAGTTTTTGTGGTTGTCTTAAATTATTCAGGAAATAAATGCTGCATCCAGAGGAACAATAATGTCTGCCTGGCATATCTGAGGAAATGACAATTATGACATCATCTATAATTTAGTTTCCTTAATATCATCCCTAGTTCCAGGGAACGGAGAAAGGCAAATACTCGGTCTGGGGGTTAGGAGGAAGCCCTAAGCATGCTATCTGAACAGCTTCTTCCTTGCCGGGTCCCAACACAGGACTAAAGATCTAGTGGGAAGCATCTTTTTTAAGAAAAAAAAATTACCTAGGGGCGCCTAGGTGGTGCAGTCGGTTAAGCGTCTGACTCTTGGTTTCAGCTCAGGTCGTGATCTCAGGGTCATAGGATCCAGCCCCATGTTGGGCTCCGTGCTCAGCATGGAGTCTGCTTAAGACTCTCCCTGTGCCCTCTTTCTTTCTCTCGCTCTCTCTCCCTCTCTAAAAATAAATAAATCTTTAAAAAAAAATCGATCTATCCCTAAATACCTATATCTATATATCTATCTATAGGCATCGGTAGATACATAGATAATAAATATATGAAGAGCGAGAAAGAGAGAGAATAGCAGTACCCTATTCCCAATAACCATATTCACTAAGTCTCAGCCAGTGCCTAAGGATATGCATTTTTTTTTTTAAGATTTTGTTTATTTGACAGGGAGAGACACAGCGAGAGGGGGAACACAAGTAGGGGGGAGTGGGAGAGGGAGAAACAGGCTTCCCGCTGAGCAGGGAGCCCGATGCGGGGCTCAATCCCAGGACCCTGGGATCATGACCTGAGCAGACGCTTAACGACTGAGGCACCCAGGTGACCCAGGATATGCATTTTTAACAAGAATCCCGGAGATGTGGCACCCAGACTCTCAACATTTTGGGGTAGTGGGAATGTTTGAAAGCTGGGGGCAACCCCTGCTGACTGGTTATGGCGGCCAGGAGTGCTGTGGTGGTCAAGATCCTCAGGCAGAAACAGACAGAGTGAGAAAAAGGTAGAAGTAATGACAATAATGATAGTTGAATTAAATGACTCAGTGCTATCAATTCAAATTTTTAGTGTGCTTCTGTGTCTCAAGGTACAGAGGTGAAAAGAAAAGGCAAAAATGCTTTTCTAGGGTACCAGATCAGGGACTTTCTGAGCCTTGTATCCGAAAAACTCCACACTGAGGCAGTGGTTCTAACTGGGGATGGTTTTGCTCTACATCCTGTCTCCATGGGGGACATCTGGCAGTGTCTAGAGACATTTTCATGGTCAGGATTCCAGCCAGGAGTGAGCAGTGCTATTGGCCTCTAGTGGGTGGAGGCAGCAGATCCTGGCCTTCAGACAATTTCTCCCCATCCATACTGTGCCCCCTGGCGGGAGACAAACTCTAAGCCAACCGGGAAGGAAGGGATTGTTTCAGTTTATCCATCTCTTTGGATAAAGCACAAAAAGTTTGGGGAAATTCGTAACTCAGTAAAGGAGTCCTGCACCAAATTCTCAATTCTAATCCCAGCTCTGCTACTTCTGAGCCCTGTGAAATTAACCACAAACAACTTTTCTATTAAATAGGGACTATTTCACTAGGCTAAACTGTTGGAAAATGGCAGTTCATCAAATACATGTAAACACTACTGAAAGATAAAATTCAGCATTCTATCAACAAATTCAAAAGATATATGATGAGTACTTACTGGGTTGGGATCTTCTACCAAGCCGGTCTTATTTTAAGAGTGGTCCCAAACTTTATTGGGTGTCAGAATCACCTGGGAGGCTTGTTTAAGTACAAGGGTCCCACCCTCAGTTTCTAATTCAATAGGCTGGGGGTAGTGCTCAGGAATTTGCATTTCTAACAGGTTCCCAGGTGGTGCTGGTGCTGCTGGTCCACGGACCACACTTTCAGCACCACGGGGCTCGAAAACATCCTCTACCTTTTATTTCTACAAGAGCATGGATAATCTCAGGATTGAGTTGGCTCCGGACATCCGCTCAGACTAAAGTAGAGGGTCCCATGCCTGCCTGCTCATCTGCATCACCTGTGGAGTTTCTGGTTGTTTCTAACAAGGATGCCTGACTCTCCTACGGTCCCAGTGCTAGCCGAGTCTCAGCAGAGTCAAGTCCAGGCATGTGTGTTCGGCAAAATGGCACTGGGGTTTCTGATCATGAGAAAGAGCAACAGTTGAACACTTTCTTCCTTCCAAATGCTAAGTTCTTCCACGGTATTATTTTATTTGATCTTCCCAATAAACTCATAAGAAAATTCCTGTTGCCATCCCAACTGTACAGAGGTGTCACCTTTAAAGGTAACACAGTGAGTTAGTGGTCAAACTTGGACTTGAAGCCAGGCAGTCTGACTCCAGAGAACAAGCTCTTCTTAACTACAGTGTCTCCAGGCTGACCTAATTTGTAACAGTGAGCCACTTGAGCATGACTCAGGGGGAGAAAGAAAGAAAAAACGGAGACAACCTGTACTGTGATAGAAGAGTTACCAGAATTATCTGTTGGTACCATTCGGGCAAGAATATCTTCACTTTCACCCCGACGAGTGCTACTCTTACTTTATTAAAATGTCATCACATCAGTGACACAAAACACTTTTTTGCACAAAACAAAACCCCAGCAATAAAGGCAGTGAGGTTTGTCTTCAGCAGCACGCTGGATGCTGTCAGGGAGCAGACTGAGCGGTTTGGCAGTGAGGAGTGTGGGCTGGGAGACACGGAAGAAGGATCAGATGACATCCCCTCCAATAGCAGCCGCATCTCATCAGAACCACAGAGCAGGGAAATGGAAATGCCAACCCTTCAAGGGCCTCTGCAAGCATATGAATTTTGTGCCAACAGCTAACAAATCGGGCTGTCTGCCTGAGCAGCTGCTACTGCCCTCTTCCTCCTTCCGGCTGGAAATGCGGGGACCCTAACACTTTGCGGGGGCTGCTCCGTGAGGAGCGGAGGTATGAGACCCACACTCTATGTTATGAGTGTCAGAGCCGAGAGAGACCCTAGAGATGAGCTAGTCCACCCATTTCTTTTTCTTTCTTTTTTTCTTCTTTTTTTACAAAAAGAAACTTGGGTTCAACATAGAAAAGGGACAGAAAGGCTATGATATATTAGGGGCAGAGCTCAGGGCAGAACTTGGGTCTCTTGGCTCGCTACCCAGGGCTCATCTTACAGCCTCTGTATAAATAAAACTTGACTTTTTTGCCCCTGCCTTCCCCTAATACATTATTTGTTGGGGGTGGGTAGAGGACAACCTCAACTATCAGACAAAAAAATACTCACGATATGTCAGAGAACCAAGGAGGAAAAAGGACTCTTGCTTGGCAAAGAAATAAATACATGTATCCACATTTGTGTCAGCTTTAGAGTAGCGATATTTATCTCTGAAAAAAAAATAAATCCCCTAAGAGACACTTGGAAAAACGATTGAAAATTTGATACGTAGAATGCCTTTCGGCTGCCTCCCTCTTGATGCTCACAGGTGTCACCAAGTTAAAATGTTGCCAACAAAAAAATCGTAAGGGGACTTTCTAGAGTGGGAGCTCTTAACCAGGCAGCTTAAAAGTTTCTGAGATTGGACCGCAGGTTTGCCAACAGATACTCCGCTGGTTGATGACCATGCTGGTCATGAAGGCAGAATAACTGTGCTGCGACTTGCACACTTGCACCCGGCTCACGAGAATTGACAGACTAAGCTTCCAGAGGCTGTTAGAAGCATGGCTGTGCCGCGGAGTCGGATGGGGCTTACCGTTCTGTGTGCTGTTTTTGTCTCTGCAGGGCACGTGCACATCACAGACTTCAACGTCGCCGCGATGCTGCCCAGGGAGACGCGGCTCACCACGGCGGCGGGCACCAAGCCTTACATGGGTACGGGCTCTGTGAGCGGCGGTGCTAAGCACAAGCCTTGGCCATTTTGTCCCCGTAGACCTTTATTCCGGGTCCAGTCATCTGGAGACACTTGCAGCTAGGAATGCCAAGTTCCCCTGTGACTTTACCTGGGGAGCGTCTGAGTTCATGGGTCTGAGGTGAGCCTCAGGAGGCTCCATTTAGCAAGCGCCCAATCTGATCTTGATTCAGGTCAAAGCACGCTTTGAAACACTGTTTAACGAGTTATTCGGGACAGCTTCTACCCACTTCCTGACAAAGAATAGTGGTTGATTGAATAAATATCTGCGAATTGCCTCTGGGGGCGTGGCACGGTATCCACAGCAGGTGATCCTGTAAGTGAGCAAAATACACAAGGTCTCCGGCTCACGGAGCTTACCTTCTAGTGAGAGAAGTTTTTAAAAATAGAATCAGGGGCACCTGGGTGGCTCAGTCAGTTGGTTTCGGCTCAGGGCATGATCTCGGGGTCATGAGATCAAGCCCAGCATCGAGCTCTGTGCTCAGCAGTGGAGTCTGCTTGGTCTCTCCCTCTCTGCCCCTCCCACTCACAAGCTCTCTCTCTCTTTCCTAAATAAATAAATACATACATACATACATACATACATAAATAAATAAATAAAATCTTAAAAATAAAAAATAGAATCAAATAGAAGTACAGTAATAAGTTGGATGGTGATAAGTGACATAAGAACTACTATACCCATCATTTACATAACCCCACATTACACACATAGGACTGTCAAGTTCACACAGCGCCTCCCAGATGTCATTTTACTTTTAGTTTTAGCACCATGACAAACCCATGAGTTCTCCTTTTTAAAGACGGGGAACTGGATTTTGCCTGAAGATTCAAAATACACCCCGAGGGTGACTAAAAGGATAGGGTTAGGTACCAAAACTGTCAATAAGGTCTCGCATTTAATTATGTTAACACTCACAAATTACTACAAATTCTTAAGTGCTCTTGTTGGAGCATCTCTGTGTAGACGCCATTGTGGCAGAACTAGCCTTGTCTCCCACCCATCCCCAGAAATGTAAAGAGACAACTGCTATCCTTTCCCCAAAGGGATTCAGGAAGAGGGGCTTTTCCGCTCTCCCCACCTAGGACAGGTGAGTCAGATCTCAAGAGAATGGGATCTGGAAAGTCTGTGGGTAACTGTGAGGTGAGTGACTTGGATTTCCATGCTTGGTCCATGTCTGGTTCCTCACCGTATATGCTGACTGGTCCTGGTACCCACAGAGCCCGATCTGTCCATGGAGTTAAGTCTTCCTGGGGACCATAACGTTAGGAGACAGACAGCAGTGTTTGAGCGTGTGTCTGGATTAGCCAGAGGGTGGGATCCAGCTTGTGAGGGACCCTGCCAGTAGCCTGGAAGGAGGGCGGTTCCTATTGGCGTGGCTTACTAGAAACACCACCAATTCCAATAGAGCTCAACTATATCAGGATCTTAGAGGTGCCCCCCAAGCACAGGGTGCTTGAAAAGCTCTTCTGGTAATTCTGCTATGCAGCCAGGGTTGAGAAACTGCTATAGACGAGGAGGAGTGACGTCAGCTATTAGAAGCAACTAAAGAGAGATCACCCCAGGGCATTTGTGTTAGGATCCCTCTGCCTCCACTCTCCCTCTTCCATGCCCTAAAACAAATGGTACTTTCTAGGAAAAGGGAGAAGGGATATGACAGCCAGGTTGGCAATCTTCACACCAAGGGGGCTGAATCTAGCCCTGTGGTATGAGAGAGCTCTGGATCAAACTTGAGATTAGTCTTTAAATTCACAGGACTGAATTTTAAAGTTTCTGAAGTAGATGTTTTAATAGGCAAAAAGGATTAAAATGTTTTAAGCAAGAGACTATGAACTATCATTAAGGGAGCCCCCTACCCAAAACAAATGGGAAGCTAGACACTGCATAGTTGTTGCAGATGATGGAAGAAAAAAACCTATTTCTGCTTCTACCCTAATTAACTGAGATGCTTAAAGCAGATAATTCACTGGTTAAGCCAGTGGAATTAGGGGGTGGAGTGAATTGTACTGACTAAATATGGTCAGAGTCATTTATGAGCAAAATATTTGACCTTGAAATCAAGGGTAAGAGCAAAGCCACTTTTAATATGTCATTCCCTTCCTCATATAACTAGAGAGAGGAAAAGAAAACCCCTACATACAGGGCCACCTCACTTCCCAAGAGAAGAAATCCTCTGGGAAAAAAAATAAGTCTTATTTTAGATGATATTTGAACAACTACTAATTTCCCGGCTTCCTATTACCAGTGTGGGGAATAAATCTCCTTTGTCACTTCTAAAATAACAGACACATATAATTCAGCCTATTTTCTGCCTAAAACTCACAGTTCTCAGATGATAAAAGGGAATATCTGAGCCCGCTGGTCTGATGAATATATTCTGCAGGTTTCCTGGGTTTCCATATTAAGGGCTATTTTCTTGGAGCCAAATCAGAATGTGCATCTGGGTTTTCTAGGCCTGGTTTCCATGGTGAGAGGAGTAAAAGGAGGCTACCCTTCTTTTCTCTCCCCAGTGATTTTAAATACAATATCCGTATAATTTAATTCTCCTCATATATGGCATTTTGGGCCCTTTCACAACACGGAGCTAGGAAATTGGAGTGCATTCAAGGTTCTCTCTGCTTTTCCAACTTCACCCTTATAATTAACAATTACCAATATTTATTGAAAGCTTTCTATGGGCCAGACACTGTGTTAAATGTTTAGCATTCATTTATTCATTTATTTTTTTCTCAGCGACTCTATGAAGCAGACTGTAATTACCACCATTTTACAATGAGAAGATAAGAAGCTAAGTGATTTGCCCAAGATCACATGGCTAATAATTGAAAAAGCTTAGATTTAAAGTAAGCTCTGACTACAGAAAGTCAAGCTTCTTCCCGAAAGAGAGTTAAAGGAGAAATTTATTAGAAATTATTTGTGGTCCGTAAAAGGTTGTAAATCCATTTAGGTAAGCCAAACTGTTAGAAATGTTTCTTGTTTCAGTATAAATGAGTATCTGTCATCCCTTAACTCGGAATCCAAAGGTTGCCTTTGCCTTTGATTTTTTGGTAAGAGTCTTTCTAAGAGGTGTCCTAGGTAGAAATCTGCTGCTTCTTTTTTTAAAAATTATGATCCAAATTTGGTAATATCTAGGTAACAGACATTCACCAGCACCCATGCCCATTTTTTAGCACTCCTGTGGGATACGAATTAGCAGTTACAGAAAGAAAAAAATATTCTTTTTTTTTTTTAAAGATTTTATTTATTTACTTGAGAGAGAGAGAGAGAAACAGCATGAGAGGGGGATGGGGGAGGGTCAGAGGGAGAAGCAGGCTCCCAAGGAGCAGGGAGCCCGATGCGGGACTCGCTCCCAGGACCCTGGGATCATGACCTGAGCCGAAGGCAGTCGCTTAACCAACTGAGCCACCCAGGCGCCCAAAAATATTCTTTTTTTAAAGATTTTATTTATTTATTTCAGAGAGCACCTGTGCAGTGCACCTGCAGGTGCGTGAGTGGGGGGAGGGGGGAGGGAGGAACAGTCCCAAGTTCGACTCCCCGCTGAGTGCGGAGCCTGACACAGGGCTCGTTCTCAGGACCCTGAGAACGTGACCTGAGCCGAAACCAAGAGTTGATGCTTAACTGAGGGAGCCACCCAGGTGCCCCAAAAAGAAAAAAATATTCTAAGAAGAAAGAAAACAAGGACGAAATACTGACGATGATAGGAATATATGACATCTACTAAGATGAGGTGCTGAGCACGTTCGTTATACAGCGGTTTCTCCTGGTTCTGAACCCACCTTCCTTTCAGCTCCCTACTCCCTCCCCTCCTTCCCCGCCCTCCCTCCTACCTCTGTGTGATTATAATCCAGATCACTTAGAGCTTAACCAATGAAAACATTTTTCTCTTCCCAATTAAAAACAAAGCAAATTCACTATGGAAAACGTGTAAAATGCTGATAAGCAAAAAGAAGTTAAATTAATTTCTCCCCTTGTAGATATTTATGGTTTCCTTCCAGACTTTTTTTTTTCCTGTGCACACACACACATTTTTTTTTTAAAGTTGGATCATCCTGAATTTTTGTAACCTAAATTTTCACTTTATAATATAATAACAATAGACATCATACAATGAGCAGTTATCCTGGCCTGAACACTTTGCTAAGCTTTTAGCATTTATTAGGCCATGAAATTCTCAAAGCAACCCTGTGAAAGAAGCTCATAATCACACAGCGAGTAACTGGTGGAGCACAAAGTTAAACCCACATCTGAAAACATCTCGAGCCGTGGCACTCGTGGTGATGATGATGGTGATGATGATGAAGAAACAATGGCCAATGCTGAGCTCTTCCTAAGTGCCAAGCACTGTTCTAAGTGCATGTATGACATCGTTGAAACCAAAACTTCCGTGAGGCCAACACTATTGTTATTCCCACTTGAAATGCACAAATTGAGAAATGAAGCACTTTGCCCCCTGTGGAGGAAGGGATACCGCTGTGAGGGTCAGAGCCCGAACGCTCTGCTATGCTGGGCGACCTCTCTTGTCTCCAGGCTCCAGGTGTAACCTGCCTCAGCCAGAATTGCACCTCGTTTCTCTCTGACTCCAGAGCCTGGGTCTTGGCAAATGATACTCTGCTTCTTTTCCCATGCCCGTGTATAGAACTATCATTTTTAATGATCGTGTGCTCCAGAATTAGAGGACTGCATCAAATTGAACCAATTCTGTATTGTTGAATGTTAGGTTGTTTCTCATTTTGAAACATAAATAAATTTGTAATGAAACTCCTGTTAGCAGAAATAGGTCCTGCAACTTGTTTATCTTTGTGATGAAGTCCCATTCAAAGAATTCCTGGTCAGTGGATATTTATGTGTTAGTGCATTTTCCTCCTGAAGGTTCACATTGATTTCTGCTCATTTATTCTGAAAGTGTCTGAGAATATTCAGTTCCCTGCATTCTCAGCAGGGCTGCACAATGAATATCTTTAATCTTCCTGAAAAGATCATTTAAAATGGTCCCTCATGATACTAATACTGAAATTCTCTGACTTCTTTTGTAAACTGTGCATATTCTTTGCTCATTTTCTATTAGGGTGTTAATATTTTTATCCTATTTCTTATTGACTATATAAAAAATTCTGGGGCCTTATATATTCAGAATATTATAGTGTATCTGGAGCCTTATATATTCAGAATATATAGTGTATCATATGATTATAGTGAATCATTATAAATATGATTTCCTACCTTTTAGTTTGCTGTTGTTCTTATGACATTTTTATGTAATGAACTATTTTTTTAACATCATCACACCATTAGTCTTTTTTATAGCTTCTACCTTTTTTATTATTTATTTTTTTTAAGATTTATTTACTTATTTGAGAGAGGGAGAGAGAGTGAGCATGCAAGGAGGGGAGGGGCAGAAGGAGAAGGAGAGAGAGTTCCAAGCAGACTCCACGCAGAGCGCGGAGCCTGAGGAGGGGTCCAGTCCAATGACCCTGAGATCCTACCTTACCTGAGCTGAAACCAAAGTCAGTCCCTCAACCAAATGCACCACCCAGGCACCCTTATAATTTCTACCTTTGATACTATTCTTAGTAAGACCTTCTTATCTCCAGATTTTGGATATGGTTACCTAATGTTTTTAATACTGTTATAGTTTCATTTCTTTCCTTATTCCAGTTACATATAATCTTGACTGAAGATATGTCATAAGGATCTGACTTTATTTTTTGTTAGATCATTAAATAATTGTTTCGAGATGACATATCAAATAAGACCTTTTCTATGTTGATTTACAATATCTTCATCATAAACTAAATATCCTTATATACCAGCATCTACATGCTGTGGGTCTTCAAATCTTATTACAGCTTTATAATATAATTTAATACATGAGATGCAAGTCTATGTCTTTATTCTTTTTCAGAAAACCTTTATTATTCACAGATTTTTGGGGTAGATGAAATTTAGAATATTTTTTTGTAAATTTCATTAATTATTTCTATTGCATCACAATTATGGATTAGGTTTGAGGCCCTTTCTTTATTTCTTGACCAAGAATCTACTATCTTGGGGCATCTGGGTGACTCAGTCAGTTAAGCATCTGACTCTTGGTTTCATTTCAGGTCAGGATCTCAGGGTCATGAGATCGAGCCCCACATCAGGCTCCATGCTCAACAAGGATTCTACTTGTCCCTCTCCCTCCCCCTCTGCCTGTCCCCTCGCTCTCTCTCTAAAAATGAATAAAATCTTAAAAAAAAAAATCTTCTGTCTAGGTTTTGTAAAACCTGAAAAACCAAGTGATGGAAATCCAAATAGCCAATAGACACATTAAAATGTGGTCAAGCTTATTAATAACCAGGAGAATGTCTATTTAAACCACAATGAAAGCTCAATACACACTTACTAGATTGGCAGAATTCAAAAGGCAAATTAACACCAAGCGTAGGTAAGGAGGCTGAGCAAAGCAACTCTGATACCCTGCTGGTCACCGTGTTAATTGGTACTACCACTGGGGTAAATAGTTGGGCATTATCCAGAATGTGTGAAGACGCACATCGTATCCCCAACAGCTCCCCTTCCAGGAACATAACCTATAGATGTGTGGACTTTTAGGAGCGTTCATGACAGCATTGTTCACAATACTGTCAAATTGAAAACACCCAGATGTGAGGCATTCTCCTAGCACAATGGCCTGTTCCTCCCTCAGACTTCTCCGCTGTCTCTCTAAATGAGATGCCTGTCACCTGTCACCCAGGGTACTGGTAAGGGAAAGTGGAAATAAAGCCCATTTCCATCCAGTCTAGGGGGTACCGTGGGGTCAGGGCCATTATCTCCCAAACTGATGGGGAGCTGTGACTTAAAGATAGGAGGCAGTGATGTGGGGGAGATGAAATCACTGGGGAATGAGGCTCTTATATTCAGGGTCAGTCCTGGGCATCAGGATGTCAACATTCTACCTCGGATTGGATGGCGTCTGCAGGATTTTACTTGGGACTTGAGTACCCTAGCTAGGTCAAGACCATGTGCAGGCCTCACGTCATGCCAGTTTCTTTTGTCCAGAGCCAGCACCTTAGTCCCAGAGGCTTGGGTCAACTGTGGATAGCTGTTGACAAGTAAAATTCGCATTCCTATGAATGTTTGCCTCTCCAGAACCGTGACTAGTTTTTGGAGCACTTCCTAGGGGCCAAGCATGGAGCTGAGATTTGCGCATGCATTATCTCATTTAATGTCTCACCTCTCTAAAGATCTTCTTATTTTGACTTTGCTGATGAGGATTCTCAAGCTTCGGCAGCTGACTTGTTCAAGGTCAGAATAAGTGGTAAAGGCAGGTTCTGACCCCAGACGGTGTGGCTCCAGAGCTAATAACTGCCACCCTTGCTTGTTGACTTGACTCCTTGTTGTTTATTTAGTCAACACATTTCTGTTGAGTGGCCCTAAATGCCAGGTTCAATGTTAGATGCTAGAAGTGTAGTGGTGAGCACACCGCCCTTGCTTTGTGCTTTACCCCTCACGAGCTAGGTATATTCTTGGAAGAGTATGAAGAAGGTGCACAGGGCATCGAAGTGCTTAGAAAAGGCATAACTAGGGGTCACCATTGGGGTCAAAACTGACTGTAGTTTTGCCTTCCCTTGGAGTCCTTTCAAATGACTATGTTACAAAGTGTAAGTTTCTCCACCTGATGTGAAAGCTTCTATTTCGCAGAGTGCCCACTCCCTCCTTCTCTCTCCCTCACCACCAATAGTAGGCTGTAAATGCTTCTAGATGACTGACATGGAGAGCCAATCCAATATACCTTGCACCAAATTCTAAGTGCTGTTTGCAGCAGGAATACACATTTCAGTCCTTTAGCACAAACCTTTCAAATCAAGGCAACAAATAACATCTTCCCAGCCTTCCTGATTTTAGGGTCCGCTGAACATTTGAGGCCTTACGGGATCCAATTTTTAATAGTTACGGGATATAAATAAGAGGAGAATTTGCCCATCAAGGCCTGTGCATGCCTGTGTGTTGGCTGATGAATGAAGCCACTGAGACGAGAAAACTAGCCATTTTTGCCTGTTGCAAGCAATCTAGCAAGGGCTGATAAACACCCACAGCAGTGTTTATTCCTTTTATTTACCCTGGTAATGTGCCTTAGGAGGAACACGTTGGGAGCAGAGATTTGTTAATGTCCTAGGCTGTAAAACGGACCACACTTTTCTGTATTTTCAGCGCCTGAAATGTTCAACTCCAGAAGAGAAGCAGGCTATTCCTTTGCTGTGGACTGGTGGTCCCTCGGAGTGACGGCGTATGAACTCTTGAGAGGCCGGGTATGCTGGAATTGGGTTTCTCTTTGGTTACTCTTCCAGCAAGTTTCATTTTTAGAATGAAAGAATGGATTTTTTTTTTTTTTTCCTAAAATCAAGCAGTTTGTTTGCAAGGTGAAAGCACTGTGCCATGTGATACTTGGGATTTGGGCACATATTCACTCTCCTACATATGGATCCAAGCATGTGAGTTAACATTAACTGTAGGTAAAATTAAATGAATAATATGAGTATTATAAACTCCTGGAGAGGGAAGATCAGGGCACCTCACTAAATATCTTGTGGAAATATATTTGTTTGTTTAAAGAAAAGCACTTTGCAGTCACAGTACAGGATTCTAACTTCGACATAGTTCCCCAATGTGAGTGTGAATTATTAATACAACACCTTCATGCCCTGTCTTGTTGGATTCATTTGGCTCTGTCATTTGGCTCCTGGGTTCTGAGTTTGGGGGGCAAATTAGAGTGGCTTCCTTTTAAAGAAGGCATTTCTTAAACTAAGAAAATGCCTAGGAAGAATTTTGCCCAGAAAATATTTTTCCCCCTCCCATACGGTTTTATCTCTATGGTAGTTCTCTGTGATGTGATGTATTAACATTGTCAGATTTTTTTTTTCTTTCTATTTTTGGGGTGGGGGGAGGTGAAGAAAGGGTACTAACAGATTATTGAATTTAAATCCATTTTGTAAAGTATTATCCTTGTGAGTTTTTCAAGGTATATCAAATTTTACATAATCTCTTCTATATTATTAGATTATAAATTCATCAAGGTGAAGCGTGTGCCTTATACAGTTCAGTATCATCCCCAGTATTTAACTTTAAATAGAAACATACCAAGTGTGTATTGAATGAATTGGGGGACAAGGCACTATATCAATTCTGCCACATTCTAGCAAAGAATCACCAAGTGGGCTGTAGGTAATTAGGTTTCAAAACCTAGCTAATCACATTTAATTACAACTATCAACACAACGAAACCACAGAGGACGGGCGCTAAACCATGATCTCCTCCACATTTACAAATTCTCATTTATAGACCAATATATGCCTCAAAGACAAACATGCTTGACATCTCTGTGGTTTCTGAACTTCACTGCAATCTTGATGAATGGTCCCCCTAGCTATTAGCCTGCTTTGTCTGCATTGTAAAGGCAAAGTCCGTCTTTTCTAGCCTTGGGTTATCCTTAAGTGTCAGCTTCCAATAGGTACACGCATAGTTTTGCACTAATTATATATCCTTGGCTGCAACTCTTTTGCTCTTGTACTCCTGAAATAAGACCATAAGCACAACACCTCATTTTCTCCCATCTAATGTTTTACTTTTTCCACCTTATTCATTCTTTATATTCTTGCTCTTATTTTATATGCTGGGTAAGAATTGTTTGATATACCCTGTCACTGCACTCTGTAATTTCTTTATAGCATGCATTCTGTTGATTTAGGGGTGTATGTATGTGTGTGTGCAGAGTCTATATAAATAGTTATGGTTTCTGACAGTCTCCACCAGTGTGGAAATCATGTCTCTCTTATTCTTGTATCCCCAGTATCCAACAGAGGTGCTGGGACATCATGGGCATTCAGTAAACATTTGGCAAATGAATAAATATGCAGTTCTCGTAGTTGATGAATTAACATGGATTCAAAGTTTTAGAACGAGATGGGGCACCTGGGTGGCTCAGTTGGTTAAGTGACTGCCTTCGGCTCAGGTCATGATCCTGGAGTCCTGGGATCGAGTCCCGCATCGGGCTCCCTGCTCGGCAGGGAGTCTCCTCCTCCCTCTGACCCTCCCCCCTCTCATGTGCTCTCCCTCTCATTCTCTCTCAAATAAATAAATAAAAATCTTTAAAAAAAAAATTTAAAGTTTTAGAATGAGAAAGATAAGTTATTGTATAAAACAAAGGCAATTTGACTATTTTTAATAAGTTGACAGATCATGAGGATTTTTTAAAAAATATTAAGTTCAGTCACATGGCCTTCTAAAGTAAAAGGAAAAAGTACACTTAAGTTAGTTGTCCGTGGCATTTATCAGTTAATTTATTCATTTATCAAATCCTTTTATGTTTTTAGTGAGGAACAGTATGTTTAGAAGCAGCAATGAAATGAAGAAGGAAATTAGAAGAAAGAAAAAAGTGTATGTCCATACATATATAACCCTGGAAGCTGAAGCGTGCCCAACCTGCCCCAACTCTTAAGGGTATAAACATGGAGTGAATCCCATGCAGTGACCCACGGTGCCTTTGGCTAGTAAACACTCCATAAGCGTTGATCATGGTGATAAGGTACCCAGCACTTCCTTTCTGAGACTAAGTTATACAGGTTATCTCCGCTCTATTGTTACTGAGACAGATCAATTATCTACAGTCCTTTATTCAGTCTTGTGGGAAGAAAATATGCAGGAGATATGTATGTTTAGACCTTGCATAAAAAAATAAAGTTTGGCCAGTCTCCCTTTTAGGGAGTCAACTCCTAGCACTTGGTGGTTCCCCAACTAACTTGACATTAACATACCATGTGTAGAGTTAAGCCTTTCTTCACGTCACCTTTATTGATGACTTATCTTGCTGTTCACTACTCACATTTATATCCACCCTTCCTAGCCTGTGTTCACGAATAATACAAATCTCTCTCCTGCATTGTGTGTAATATGTGTTAGCTGCTCTTTGGAGAATTTTACATGTATTATGTCATTTAATTTTTCCAACAATCTCATGTGGTGGTTTATTTTACAGATAAAGGACAGATGAAGGAACAAATACCAATCGAGTGCCTCAATTTAACACTCAAATCCTTTTTTGCCTCAAGATCTTAATCACATTACCTTTGCTTCCCCCAGGCTTTTCTTGAAAGTCCATTAGTTAACAGTGTAATATTAGTTTCAGGTATAGAATTCAGTGATTCATCATTTACATGCAACACCCAGGACTCGTCATGACAGGTGTCCTCCTTAATGCCCATCACCCATTTAGCCTGTCTCCCTGCCCACCTCTCCTCTGGTAACCATCACTTTGTTCTCTATAGTTAAGAACTTGTCTCTCAGTTTGCCTCTTCCCCCCACACCCTCATGTTCGTTTGTTTTTCTTAAATTCCACACATGAGTGAAATCATATGATATTTGTCTATCTCTGACTTATTTTGCTTAGCATAATACTCTTCTAGCTCCATCCACATCTTTGCAAATGGCAAGATTTCATTCCTTTTTGATGGCTGAGTAATATTCGTATATATATGTGTGTGTGTGTGTGTGTATATATATGAAGTGATATATATATATCACTTCTTCTTTATCCATTCATCAGTCAATGGACATTTGGGCAGTTTCCATAATTTGGCTATGTTGATAATGCTGCTATGAACATCAGGGTGCATGTATCCATTCGAATTAGTATTTTTGTATCCTTTGGGTAAATACCCAGTAATGCAATTGCAGGATTGTAGGTAATTCTATTTTTAGCTTTTTGGGGAACTTCCATAGTATTTTCCAGAGTGGCTGCACCAGTTTGCATTCCCACCAACAGTATAAGAGGGTTCCCCTTCTCTACATCCTCGCCAACACCCTGTTGTTTCCTGTGTTGTTAATTTTAGCCATTCTGACAGGTGTGAGGTGATATCTCATTGTGGTTTTGATTTGTATTTCCCTGATGATGAGTGATGGTGAGCATATTTTTCTGTGTCTATTAGCCATCTATAATTACATTACCTTTTAATACTAATTTACAACAGGAAGAATATTAAATTCTTCCATCTCTCCCAATTTATTCCATCAGTCCACAGTCATTTGTTAAGTTCTTGAAAGGGCCAGGCACTTGATGAATGTACATATCCATATTAACTGTCCCATTCATTGTTGCTTAATCTAATATGGAAATTGTGTTCATTCGACAAACATGTAATGAGCACCTAGTAGGTGCTAGGTCCAGTGGACACAAATATGAGTAGGGGATGATCTCTGGCCCTAAGTAGCTCACAGTTCACACAAAAGATAAAAACCCCTAAATCTAGTTTATGAAATAGAGAAATTAATATAGGTAAAGGCTGCTCTCTAGTGGACAGCTGTGAAAAATATAACAAAACCATTGTTTTCTTTTCCCCAAAGTTAAAACTATAAAAGAACTTGGTTCTCTCAGAGGTAAAAATACTATACCTCATCATAAAGTTCTCCACCCCACTCCACAGAACTAGCAACTCATAGCATTTTGGACTGGAGTTAAAGTTTTCTGGGTAACATTCTATCCTGAACTTATTACCGATTCAAAAAGCACAAAGAGGTGGAGTAAAACTCTGGATCTCTTTATAATCAACATTTAAGTAACAATTTTTTTTTTAAGTTTCATTTACTGAGCACTTGTCCCATGTTCTATGTAAATACGTACGTAAGCTGCCTTACAAAACAGTCCCAGATTGGTATCTCAGAGGTGGATTTAGTGTACATTTAGAAATGTTTCATTTGGCCCAATGGACTTACTAAGTTTTTAAAAATTCTGAGATTTCACAGGAAACTAGAGATTTCTGGTGTCTTTTTTTTTTAAATAAAAGATCTGGCAACAGTAGACCACATTTGCATATGAAAACAACAATCAGCTGGAAGGGATCAGAAAATGATACTGAGATTTTACTGGTTGAAAATTCAGCTTGGGAACATGGGCAAAGGAAAATATTTTCTTTACTCTGTAAAAATGAAGACTCTTCCTTTTTCTCGCCCTCAAGAGACCATACCATATTCGCTCCAGCACCTCCAGCAAGGAAATTGCACACATGTTTGAGACAGCTATTGTGACTTACCCCTCTGCCTGGTCACAGGAAATGGTGTCACTACTTAAGAAGGTAAGAAGGAGGACTGCATGACAAAAGGAAGTGGTAAAAAGAAACATGCCCTCTGGTTTGGGGTGAGAAGTTAGTTTATAATATTGGCGGCAGCCACGATAATACACATTTCTAGAGTGGGCTTTGCACCTAACAGCTTGCAAACACGTGGCTCCATTAAGGCAAGACGTGTCCTCTTGTTGAGCCATGTCAAACTCAGTGTATCCAAAATGGAGTTCCTGATCGCTATTTCCTGGACTTGCTGTGATGTTCCCTTTCTCAGTGAGCGGCCCCTCCATTCATCCAGTTATGGAAGCCAGAAACCAGAAGTCACTCATCATCCCCATATCCAATTCATGGCCAAGTAACCTGATTTTGTAAATATCTCTTGACTCTGTCACTTCTCTTTATCTCTACTGCCATCTCCCTAGTCCTATTACCATCAGGTCTTCCCTTATAACTGGTTTGTCCTGGACATTTTTACACACTCCATTCAGTTCTCCCCTCTGCCCCATACTGATCTGTTCAAAGCAAAATTTATTGTCTTCTCATCGTTCTCAGAATAAAGATCAAAATAATCTGTATGGTATAAAGGTTCTGACTACCACTCAAGCTTTATTTTGGACTTTTGTTCCCCTTTTGACTACACATAGACTTTTTTCTCTTCTTCTTTTCTTCTCCTTCCTCACCATCATTTGTCTATCTCTTACCACAGGGCCTTTGCACACACTCTGCTTGGAACAGTACCCCCATCCCCAGCTCCTCCAGCTCCCTCCTTTAGATCAACACTACTCAGTGGGATTCACTTACTGGTTCAAGTCCATGCATTGTTCCCTACAGGTCCATGAGAAGTATAGAAATTGAGAGAAGCATTTAGAAACTGTTATAGCAATGTGATACTGCTGATGCCTCTAAGTACATGGTCAGTGGACTCATCTTACTGAACAGGGTATTAACTCAAATCACAAGTTGTACATGGTACATACTGATCTCACCGGGCAGGAAATTAAACAGAAAAAAATTGGCCCTTCTACGTAGATAGTTTGAGAAGCACAGCTTTAGATCTCAGCTTAAATATCACTTCCTCAGGAAGCTTTCTTCTGTTGTAAGCTCACATAACACTATCTTTCCTTCATACTATTTTTTTTTTTAATTTGCACTTATGCATTATATGTGTGTGATTCTTGGGCTAATGATTACTGTCTTCTAAGGCCTATGAGGAGGGACCACATCAGGCTTCTTCACCATGCTACCTTGGCACCTAGCACAGAGCCTGACAGGTGGTAAAATCTGGTATTTGAATAAACGAGGTCCATAGTGTCCATCAGATTTTCAGGGTGCCCGTGTTCATGGAAAAGATTAATGGCAATTGTAGCAGCAGCTCAGTAGTATGCACGGAATGATTATATGGAGGTAAGAATGAGGAGCCCCACAGGATGCACTTGGTTTTCTTTGAAGAGGGAAAATCGCACAGGTTGTGGCTGGTGAAGGACAAGAGCTTTGAGGGCCTAGGGTTCACACCTGTGCCTCCTGCCTTTGGGGTCAAGTTCCCTGTTTTGGAATAGGGATATTGATAATGTCAAAGATGAAGAAGGGAGGGGTCATTTTCCATAAGCAAATTGTCCTCAATTTCAAGATAGCCCTCCTCACCCCAAAATTACACTCCGATGATCCACAGCTATAGTCTCCAGGAGTGTTCTCAAGCAGAACTGACATTTCCCATTTGACCAACAGGACTGATGTGATATTGACTGTGGAGCAGTTACGGGGGGGGGGGGGATCTTTAATCACACTTAGCAAAACCCCAAACTGTAGCAGTAATCTTGGTTACATCTTATCTGTGTCACATCCAATATATTTTGATTAATTGTATGAGCAGCTAAAACTTTTAGTAGGAAATTAATTTCTTTTGTAAAAACACATGAGCATTCACCACCTAATAAGGACAGACCTTCTCTTAGGTACTTTATATACATGGCCTCATTTATTCCTAGCTACAACCATACGAAATAGGCTATTATCCCCTTTTTATAGAGGGCAAACTAAGGTTTAGAGGACAAACTTGCCCATAGTTAATAAAGTAAGGGAGTCGGGAATCAAAGGTATGTTTGACTCAATAGGACAATCTATTTTCACTCACCACACTGCAAAAACCTATTTACAGCTCATGCTATCCGTGCATTATCACATTATTTATGTATGTATTATCTTTATTATTTGATAGGATTAGGGAAGGGGAACTCTACCTTGTTTTCTTCAGACCCACACCTGAAAACTTTTAGAGGGAATCTGTATGATTTTTTTTGCCCCACTTTGACCTTGATTATGATCTTGATGTTTGTATTCCATTGGCAGCTACTTGAGCCTAATCCAGACCAACGATTTTCTCACTTGTCTGATGTTCAGAACTTCCCATATATGAATGACATGAACTGGGATGCGGTTTTGCAGAAGAGGCTCATTCCAGGCTTTATTCCTAATGTGAGTCAATCCTAAAAAACCCATAGTAACTCTCATTCAGTTGCAAACACGGTCTCATTAGATAACCCCACCAGTGTTGTAAGACAGCCCAATCCCTGTCTCACAGATGAGACAATGGAGGCACACACCGGGTAAATGGGCCACCAAAGGTCACGTGGCTAGCAAGTGGCCAAGTGGGATTTTCGTCCAGGTCTATCAGCATCTGGAGTTCTAGCTCCTAATCACTTTTTGTGGTATGCTTCTACTGGAAGCAAGCCCTGGTCCTCCAAATAGTCATTCCCCAGAATCTGCTCATTGAGGAACAGTGTTTTCTCAGATTTCAAAGATGTAGAAATCTGTTTCCAGGAGTTCTGTGAGTCACAGCATTGAAAATATTGGGTTTTTTTTTTTTACCACTCACCCCTCTTCCTTTAGTGGTTCACTGCCACAGAGCTACATTCATAAGGACTAAACAGCCAAAGGGAAATCATTCCCACTGGGTGAATACCTGGCTAGGGGACATCTGTGGCCTCCTGCAGACCGCTGGTAAAAGCTAGAGTCCAGAAGCTTCGGCCAAGGGACCCAAGGGAGGCCTCTAGCTTCCCTCTGCCAGTCTGAGTCTACACATTCAGTATCAGATAGACGGGCAGAATAATGAACTCCTAAAGGGTACAATTGAGTCCGTTCATAGTTTTCTGTGGTTCAGCCCAAGGAAGGCGCATTCCGAGGGCTTGTGGGGTGTGATCCGTCCTGTGCAAACAGAGGGAGCCACACTGGTGGGTGGGTTGGTGAAAGAGCACAGTAGGAGACATGAGTAGGCAGTGTGGTGGAATTCTGTTGGGGAGTTGCTCTCTTATGGATCACCAAGAAGGTAGGTGTAGGTCTTACCTGGCCATGTTGCAGAGTCCTGTAGGGGCAGCATGTACCTTGGCTGATGGATGCATGACACTGTGAAGATCTACACACACCTCCTGTTGCGTCCACTCTTCCTCCTATGCACACACCACAGCCATTAGCCAGCCACCCTGCCTCAGGAGAGGCTCTATGTATGAGTGTCTGACTTTACCATCCATCCGAATCATCTGGGAAGCTTGTTAAAAATGTAGTTTCCTCAGCCTCTGTTCAGAATCACTGACTCTGAAGGTCTGGCCGGGGAACTGGGCAGCTGGGCCAACAACTCAGGTGATTGGGATCTACATATATAATCGTCACAACACACTTTGAGAAACAGAATTCACAAGTTCAAACTTTAGAAAAACAACTGGAGTTTGATTTCCTTTCTCACTCACTGAGGGCTCGCGGGGAGTTTAGAAAACAAACAAAATATAAAATCGAGAGTATGAAAAACAATGCCGGCCATAAATTATCTAAAACAGAGTAGGAATCGCAGCTGCTTATTCTTGAACAGCTCCGTCAAAACTAGGTGCTATTCCTGGTATTAGGTCTGGTGTATTTGTAGAATGACCCAGAATCAAAGGACTGAGCCAACTGGTCTTTCTTGCAGAAAGGCAGGCTGAATTGCGACCCCACCTTCGAACTCGAAGAAATGATTCTGGAGTCCAAACCTCTTCACAAGAAAAAGAAACGTCTGGCAAAGAAGGAGAAAGAGAGGAGGAAATGTGATTCCTCCCAGGTAAGCAGGTGCCCACCAGACCCAGGGTCACGGGACTCTTCCTGACGCCCTTGGTTCGAGAGCTTCTGGTGGGAGGGCTGCTTAGCAACCCATGTTGCTGTTTTGTGAAGGCACAGAGTCACTGAACACCCAGGCTTCTGAAATGGCAGGCCTGGGCAGCGCTGGGGTTCCTAGCAGAGCAGGAACATTTCACGGGGGACTCTGGCTCTGCCATGAACTTCATTCAGTTATTGCCCTCTTCAAGCTCTCATTTCAAATCTTACAATTTCCTGGAAGACACTCCAATTGGTAGCTCTGCAAACAAATAAATATTCTCAATGTCCTTCATGTCTCTAGTCCTCTAGGGACACTATATACTTTCACAGTCAATTTATCCAAGTCCACATGCTGTTGTTCATAGAACGGGCTTCGGGCCTGCTGCCCGTCCTCAAGTATTTTCTACAGCCTTCCAAGGGAGGCTTTGCCGTGGCACAAACCCATTGTGCCTATTGCTTCTCACTTCAACCACCTTTCTCCTAATGATCTGTCCTTGGCATCGTAACCAGCTGGCTTCTCCAGGCTTGCTCCCTGCTGTGCACCTGTAGAACTTGCCCATGCAGGCTCTTCCATGGACAGCCCCCAAATGTAGCCAAGCCTGAGAGATCATCCTTATTATAAGTATTCTAAAGTTTCAATGATGACAGCAGTTTGTGAATAACTTTTCACCGTGCCTACCACGCTCTACCTGGTCCATCTCCCTTCCCCAGCCGCCCTTGTACTTGATCATTCTTGCCCTAGCTCAAGACCCTCCAACTACACGACCTTATATGTATCTGACCCTCACTAACTACAGGCTTCGTCCTTCCCTAGGACCTTTGCTCTTCCCTTTTCCTTCAATATTCTACTCTCAGATCTTGACATAGGGGGTTTCCTATTGTCCTTTATACCCTAAACGCCATTTGCCAAACACAAGGTCTCAGCTACCGCACTCTTTCTCAGCCCCAATTTTTAATTCCTTTGTGACATTAATATAATTTACAAATATTATGTGTTTATTTGTGTTTCTTTTTCTATCCCACTAAAATGAAGGCTCCTTGTGGGGGAAGCCCAGGTCGTACCCACCAGTGTCTTCATGGTACCCCAACAGTGCCTTTATACAGTATAGGGCTCAATAAACAAGAGGTTCAGTATCCTGGAAGGAAAGGAAATTTTGTAACTGGACAGTGAAAATTGGGCATCACTCTTCTTAGAGTTACAAGGTCATGTTGCCCCACTGGACATCTTCCTGGGGTCCCTCTTGTCCTAGTTCTTCCCCAACGCCCAGCCCCAGGAAGCCTCCCTCCTGATGCGAAAGGTGACGAGCCACTTACCCACAGTACAGACCCTAGCATTTTCGAAGACCACCCAAACGAGGGACGCTGCTTTCCCTTTCTTCTGGGCCTCATATCGACGTCAGAATCCTTTACCAAGAAGTGGCTTTGCCCATGATAAAAACAGGCCCTTCCATCTCTACTCAGGGAAGTGTACAACTGCTTGATCTTTTCTTTTGTTTTTAAAATTTTATTGAGGTGAAATACATGTACCATGAAATTTCCCATTTTAACCATTTTTAAGTGTACAATTCAGTGGCATGAAGTACGTTCACACTGCTGTATAGCCACCACCACTCTTCAGTTCCAAAATTTTTTGTTACCCCAAACCCCATTTGTCTTTTCCTTCATTTCTTTCAGCAATGTTCTGCAGCTTTTGCGAGTACAAATTTTTCGCCTCCTTGGTTAAACTTATTCTTAAGTATTTTATTCTTCTGGATACTATGGAAATGGAATCGTTAATTTCCTTCTTGGATTGTTAATTCCTGGTATACAGAAAAACAACCAATTTTTCTTTGTTGATTCTGTGTGCTGCAACTTTGCTGAGCTCATTTTGTAGCCCTACAGCTTCCTTGTGGATTCCGTGGGATTTTCTATCTATGAGACCATGTCATCTACAAATAAGGATAGTTTTACTCTTCTTTACAGTTTGGACGCCTTTAATTCTTTTCTTTCCCTGATTGCTCTGGCTAGAAATTCCAGTACATTGTTGAATAGCAATGGCAAAAGCAGGCATCTTTGCCTTTTTTTTTTTTTGCTCTTAGGGGTAAGTACCTTTTACCATTGAGTATTGTGTTAGCTGTATGTTTTTTTGTAAAAGCCCTTTATCTT